TCAAACTCTACTCAAACGATTGAATTTGGGAAAACGGACTTCAGAAACGGGTTTAGGACATCGAAATTAGCCTAGAAAAGGTCCTGGACGAAAATCGAAAAAGTCAACCCGAAGGTAAAAGTCAACGGATCAAAGTCAACCTGAGTTAACCTGGTTTAGGGTTTGGCTATTGGCTCCGGTTTGGGCCCTAGGGTTGGGTTTAGTTTTAGGGTTGAAGGATTTAGGAAATGGGTTAGGAGCTCTCTGGGCTCGGCCCATACCCACACGGCCTGAGGGCCTAATTAGAAAGGGTTTTGGGTTTGTTGACATGGCCCTAATGCCTTTGGGTCTTAAGGAATTTAAATAAAATAAAAAAGGAAAAGGGCTGAAACAAAACGGGCTTAAGGCCCGTGGGTTTGAGAAATAGCTTGAAAGGCCTGGTGCGAAACGAAGAAGAATGCCAGAGCTTCTACAGCTCCGGCCTACTGCAAACGTACATTCTAGACCTCGATCTAGGTATCAAAATGCAGAACTAGACGAGAGCAATGTTTTTATACCTTTGTTTTGCCATAGAACGGTCGGAGGGGATTGAAAAATCCCTTAACAACCACGAGCTCGCTGAAGATGGGTGAGCTTTCCCCCTAGGCGATCTCGTTCTAAAACCTTGGAAATAACAAGATAATACTCAAAAATCACATCCAATCTTCACACTAACATGGAGAGAGGAAAAATCCAAGGCTTACCTTGATTTCTAAGGATAAAGAACCTCGCCGGAGTTCTTGGCTTTCCACTGTCCTCGCTGCGATGGGAGAAAGAGAAAAGAGTGAGGTTTTGATGATGGTGATGGTGTCTTCCCTCGAGCAGGTGTAGCTATGGGTGTGAGTGTGGTCGCAATGTAAGAGAGGAAGAGAAAAAAAATGAGAGTTTCAAGAAAGAGAAGGGAGAGAGTGCAGAGAAAGAGAGTTGAAATAAGAGAGAGAAAAGGGGTCACGGGTAGGGGACAGAAAAGTGAAGTGAGGTGAGCTGGGGTGCTGCCACGTGGCGGCCTGAGGATAGAAAGAATCCCACTTTAGATCCGGATTGGGTGAAAGAATAGGGTCCAAATTGATAATTCTATTAATTTTTTAGAAGAATTACAGAATTACATTTATAAGCGGAGGCAGGTGTAACACACACCCCTCTCTATTTATAGTAGCAATTTCTTCATGGTCGAGAGTCCCATTAGGACTAGAATTCCTTAACCTAATCTAGATAGGTCTTGGCCAATCCTGATACTTGTAGGATTCTGCACCAAGCTCTTTAATTACCCAAATTCATTCTTGATTCTTAGCGTCTTTTCTGATTCGAAGTATACATAACTTCTGAAGATTCCTGGTTGTACAAGGACTCCACTACAAGACAACAGTTCATTTATCATGGGCTTTATGATCCTGTTATAAAAAAGTACAAATTTACTAGGGGTATAATAAGCATATGGTGAATAACAATTTTTTATCACGAGAAAATCTTAACTCGTTGCAAAATAGCAATTAATGACCACGCGCAGAATTTTACATTGTAAATATAATAAGTCACCACAGGCATTGCTAGTGGCCAATATTGTTAATATCCACATTACCTTTTTGTTATCTACTACAGTCATAATACGTGATAGAATTGTACATACTTTATTTTTATTTTTTTTTAAAACTGAAAAAGGCGGGACATCAAAATTTTACAAAATCTCAAACATCTTTGAAATTTGAAATTTTCACAACTCCTGGACACTCATCAAAATATGAAGAAGGAAAATCCAAATTGTAATATGTCCCATCAACTACTGCAAAACTCCGTCTTTCCAAAATTTAGCAAAATTTCAAACATCTATGGCTACCACTCTCCCTCTCTTCCTCAAATCCCCTCGTTTCTTCTCTCCAGTCTTCCTCGATTTCAAGGGTTAGGGTTTTCCGATTCTCTCTCTGTCGAATGCATCACCACACATGACGATGAGGAGATTCTACAACGAGATCAAGGGATTGAAGCTGAAGGATTTGCCCAACCACAATAAGCCAATGCTGTTTGTCGACTTTGCCAAGAAGAATCCGCAGAAAGGCTTGGACTACTACCAAGCCAAGTACATCCAAACTAGCTCCGTCGACCCCCTCCTCCATGTCTGGTTCGGCGGCACGATCTTCTCCTACCTGGTCGCTCTTCCCGAGGAGCGCTGCCACATCAAGCATGCCAAAGAGCAAGGTCATTGCCCTCGATCATACAAATGGTATATTCCTTCAGTTTTTCAATTTTTTTTTTTTTTGTGTTTTCAGCTTTTCTTCTTAATTTTATGGGTCAATAATCTGGTTGGTCAAAAAAAAAAAAAAAAAAAAGAAAAGGAATTCGTTTGTTAAAAATTCGATAAATGTATTTGTGGTTTCAAATGGGTTACTGGATGATATTTATTTGATTTAGGGGGTAGTGTGTAAGAACATTTCATTGTCGATTTTTCCGATCAGTGGATGCTTGAATTTTGTATCTGTTTGTAAATAATTGTTGATTTCATGGTGGATTAGAGGGTGTTGTAATATTGTAAATTTGATAAGATGGGAACCTGAAGGAGTCAGAATTATATGTATGCAAGTATATGAACTCTATGCAGGTTGTAGGAAACAATGTGGAATTTTGAGTCATTTGATGAATGTATGAGTCTATCACAATGATTATTTTTTTCATTCGGTAGTCACTTTTTTTACTTGATAATAAATGTGTATTTCCACCTATAGTAGTACAATATATTTTCTTTGATCTATGTGCTTATGTCTATGCAGATAAGCATTATTAGGCGAAGTACTTCACTCTCAAAGCATTAGGGGCAATAGTTCACTTTCAAAGTCCTTTGTTTGGAGGTGTTCAAAGAAATGTGAAGTCTTCAAGTGACAATGTTATTGTTATTTGAGGTCTATGGATATTTTGTTATTTCTTAGTATATGTCATCGGTTTTGTTGTTAGTTTTAGTATACCGTTGTAATATTTGAATATGTAATTTTTGGAATTTTTTTTATAACTGACATCAGTCGTGGTCAATTTGTAATCCACAATGGTTATGTGCACGTGGTGTTAGATATGAATCTACCATGGGCATAGTTTGTGGTTATATTACATTTGATAAAGAGCATTGCTAATGGTAGAAGTTGAAACTTTTTATCATGTTCAGATTATTAATGGGCACAATATCTGTAGTGGATTTCACTGGGCCAGGCCTATAGTGAGAATATTCCTGACACTTTTTATTAGATCGAAAACAACTATAAACTTGGCCTAAAATGTTATTTTGGATCCAAACAGTTTTGCATCCATTGTTCTATTAATAAAGCACGAGACTTGCATGAGTGGAATAGTGTTTTCAAGTTGGGCCTAATCTCAAAATCCAAATCATGATTGAAGTTCCAACACAAAAGAAAATCAAGATTGAAGTTCGCATTAGGGGTGTTGTTTTAAAAAACGTATGGCTTTTGGGGGAATATAGCCTCCTATACATCTATTTTGGCAAAAAAAAAAAAATGTCGGTTTTATTTGAAAGACGTTGAGATTGCTAAAAATACAAAGTGTTTCATAAAAGAAATCTTTGAAGTACAAATGTACTTCAATGACTTAAAAGTATTTAAGATTTTTTACCAAACGTAATCATAACCACTTTTAATTGGCAGAAAGCCTTTTGCATTAAAGGCAGATTGTCTGTCATTCTGATTAGGTGTTATTTCCATTTCTTTCATTTTGTGCGATCACAGTTAAGTTACGTCAACATTTTATATTGATTTTTTTTATAGAGATAATAAAAAAAAAAAGCAATAGGAATATAAAATGTTGATGTGGCTTAATGTGACCACAGAAATAAGAAGGGATGAGAAGGACATCCAAACAGAAGGGCAAACAATCTATCTCCCAAACTCCTTTTGCATTTCCATAAACAGTTCCAGACAGGCCTATTTGTCTGTCTGTTAGCATTCCATTTGATGTTCTATTCTGCTTTTCATAAAGACATAAAATTAACATTTAACTCTATTTTGCAGACAATTCCTTTTGGGTTAATGTGGTAAACTAATTTATTCCAAATTCCAATAAAATTCAGTAAAATGGTTTGGTTTGTTGATAACTATGCAGATTCTGTCATGAGTATTCAATCAGGTTCATTGACATTGATAAAGGCTTAAACTGTTTGTTTGATGATTTTGGTTTTGATGGTTGTGTAATACTGAACCGGATCGAGTTCTTGGAGAAGAAAAAACCAGGTTTATACAGAGTTGGAAGTGGCTTCCGCTTTAACCGGTTAGGGTTCAATCCTCCAATGAAGGATTCACAGGACAGAGTTTGCTGGATGAATTCCTGGCACTACAGGAGGAGCTACTTATATGAATGCTGGAGCAAATGGGCAGGAAACTTCTAATGCCGAACATAGTGTTGAATTTGTAAGTCTGTAAAAATAGTCAATAGATGGGAAGTTTCATAGACTTCACAGGACTGATCTTGTTTTCGGGTACCGTTCATCTCCTTTTAAAGGTATGGAAGAATTAGCAGTCATCATTGCTGTTACATTTGAACTGCATCACTCCTAAACTTGTAGGGGAAGTGATTTCCAAATACCCTTTTCTCCCCTAGATCAATGTTTATTTCTAACTTTAGGATTGAATAAATCAAAAGAGAACCAAGATTTATAAATAAACATGAGTGTGAAGAAGGAGAAGGGGCGTATGGAAATCATTTCCCAACTTGCAGATGCTTATGGGTGGTGTGGCTAAATTTGCAGGAGAAGAATGTCTCAACCGGTTGGGGAACAATCCGCTGGCTCGGTCTTCCACAATCCATTGGACAGCAGCCGAGATTGAGAAAGTCAGGTTGAATAGGTTTAGAGTGGGAGGGGCAATGGTATCCGAAATGCATGCAGATTTCTTTATAAACTGCTGTGACACAACCTCTAAAGACATGCTTCACCTCCTTCCTTGCCTTTGATTCATACGGAATTAACCGATGTGAACGAAAACAAAGACAGATGATTTGCAAAGACTCTACATAATTGAATTGCTGATAAAAATATTCATTCAAATCGAAAAGATTTGTGCAACTAAGACACCAGATGAGCAGCTTCTTTGCTTTCAATTTTAAAAGTTTGAAGTATTCACTTGTTATTTTGAAGCCAATCGAGAATACCCTTCTCTGATTCTGTAAGCTCCCCTTTCTTGGCCCTAATAGTTCCTTCCTCAAACTCAAAGTACTCCTTGTAATTGCGCTTGAAATAACTGTCCATTCTCTGCAACATACATATATATAGACACATATATGTAAAACAACAAGATGTGAAAACAATAATAAATGCATTATTTATATGAGTGTTGCTATTTAGACACTCTCTAATACTAGTGAATACTACGTGTAATGGTGGGATCCATCTTTATTCATCTCTTGTAGAGAGCGTGTCAGTTTTCTATGGCTAAATAACATTATTGTATTTAGACCCCATGGAAACAAAATTATACACTATTGCTCCTCTAGCATTTCAAGGAACACACCACCTCCTTGTACAACATTCATAAATAAAACCATATATTTCTGGAAAACATATTGAAGAATTAGCAGACCGGTGTTACCTAGTGGGCATCCCCTTCCACTGAAGTTCGAATTTCCCAATAAATTATTAGACATGTTTAGAATATTGGATTATGAAAAAAAATGTTGTAAAATTAGAAATGTTACCTCCTTGTCATTCTTGGCCTTGTTCTCTTCTGACTTCTTCAGATACTCTGATACAAATTTCAATCACTACTAAATAAGTAAACGAAAAACCAACAAAAATAAAAATAAAAAAAAGCAGGGGCAAAATAAGCACAATGAAGAGATAAGCACTTTACTTTTCAGAAGCTCAGCCCCAGAGTCACTGAGTGGAGGAGTAGCAACTAGAGCAGATAAGAGAAGCCCTCTTCTTCCAATATCATTGGTGCTTGTGGCCGAAGTGCTTTTCTTTGGTGCTTTTTTCTGCTTTCTGTGAACCGCCTGCACATTTGATGAAGCAAACTTGTTCACAGTGACAGTCAGTGCCATCAAAATGCTCTGGCCTATTGAGCTCATGGCTTTTGTACTACCACCACCAGTTTTCTGAGCATATAGATGACGACGATGAGGTTATCTTTTGGGTTTAGCTCTTTGTTTACAATTCCACGTCAGCGGGCTTGATATAGAAGGGCTTATCACTAGTGGTTCCAAATTGAAATTTGCTTATATATAATAGGTTTTTTTTAGTTAAAATGGTCTCTGAGATTTGAAATCAATATAAGTGGTCCTTGAGCTTGTCTATCATCAATTATTTTGGTCATTCCGTGAATAGTTATGTTAAATAAAGATTAAAATGACAAAACTACCCTCAATTTATAAACAATAGGGCAAAATGATTTGACAGAAATTAAGGATATTTTTATCATTTTAATCTTATTTATTGGAGATTTTTCGCAAAATGACCAAAATGATTAATGGTGAACAAACTCAAAAACCAATTCTTTCGATTTTAAATCTCAAAAACAAAAATGAGAAGTTATGAAAATCTCATGAACCATTTTGGATAAAAAAAACTTATATAATATTACTTTTCTTTACGCAGAGAGGGTTTGAACCAATAACATCTTTCAACATTGAAAAAAAAAAAGTAATATTAGACTAATAACAAATTCATAGTAGCTTCCTTAGTAATAACAAATTCATAGTAGCTTCTTTATGTGACTTTTGCGAATATATTCGTACAAAAGTAAACTATTGCTGAATCCTAAAGTTTTACTCCCATTACTCTATTCTAAAATTGGGGAGGGGGTGATTGTAGCTCAGCTACGGTGAATCTGAAATTGGGGGAATTTCAGTTTATTTACGAAATTACCACTTCATCTCCCGAATTTTTTTTTTTTTGGCAGGGGTCTGGGTTAGGCCCTTTGGGCCACGCGTTCGTTTGCGTTGTGTTTAAGGGCGGGATTTTTAAGTTGAGCGGGGACCTTGCAGAGAGAGGGAGTGAGGCCCGTTCCTACAAGATTTCATCATCATTTGACAAACCCATGCCTACATGTGCTGATTGAAAAGGTGAGAGATATTTTTCAAATATTTTGTGTACATTCATCGCTTCACTGAATGTAGTGTGTTCAGTTCTGGCATTCCCCTCAAAACATCGTTTCTGTGTAAAGTATCATTTTCTCTTTTTCTCAGTTTCCTTCTGCCATTCCGTCTGTTCATTGAAGCGACGATGGAAAATTTATACAGAAAATTTTTGGGCTGTGCCTGTGGTTATTTAAGCTACTTGCTAGAGAATTGGTTATTGAATTTTCTGGGTGTGATCTAAAACAAGTTGAACTTGATTAGATGCTTACTGATCCTGCTTATGCGTATCTTTTTTTATAGTGCATATTACTTTTGAATAATAATATTTCTGTATAAATTTGGTTATTGAAAAAGCAAATTGTTTAACTGTGGAATATCTGGTTATTTTTCCATTGAATGGTAATTTAGTTGCGGTTTGTTGTCATAGTTTCTTAGGAAGAATTTGTGAAGGCGCTTTGAGAATTTGAAGCCACTTAGCAATCCTTTCCGAGAACCTGTAGTGATCCTAGTATGAGTCTAACTCTGCCAAGATCATGGCTCAACAGAGAAAATTCATGGAATATCTTCTTTATAAGCGTCATACACTAGCCCGGGATTTATATCTTTTGTAGGATTGACATGTCCATATCCATAAGCAAATCCACTATTGAAAATGTTTTTGCTATCATTTATGATCCAAGTTGCATACACAAACGAGAGTTGCTAGCTCAAAATCAAAATCCAAAAGGATCATTGCTTCACATTGTGATTCTAAGCCTTTCATTTCCATATACAAAATTTAACCCTATATGTCATACTATCACTTATAGTCCTTTTATGCAAAGGGAACCCCATTTGTTTTTTTGTTTTTTTTTTTAAATGGGGATTAGTTGTGGGATTGACTCTACATCGAACTTCAATGATCCGAACCATCTATTTTGTAAGTCTCGATTCATAGATCATACTTACAAAAATTCAATTCAATCCCAAACCATTTGCCAATTTAATTATCATGATGAAATTTCATTGTTTATTATAGAACAAAACATTCGTTAATATCTTTGAACCCAATTAGATGCCTTAAATATTTCAGATTAGGCTAATATTTTGCAAGCATAATCTATGAGGTGCAATTTGAAAAATAGACCGTTCACATTATTGAAGTTCGATGTGATGTGTACCTCACAACTAATTCCTTTTTTAAAAGAAATGAGAATTCATTTCCTTAAAGGCTTCTGTGTCCAGTTAATAGTCTCATTTATGGTAAAGATGTACATAGATATTCGTTTTTAAACTCAACCATTGTTTCCTCCTCTTTCCCAGCCCATTCAATTATAGGATGAGAAATCTTATATGTTTGCAAGTGTATGGCAACCCATTGAAGAAAAAGGGAAAAAAATTTGCTCTGTTGTTTGGCCATTTCATGCAATGTAGCTCAGAAAATGTACTTTAGGAAACTCGAAGTATTGTTCCAAGTAAAATGGAACTTCTGCACATTCGGTTGTTTTGGAATGACTTGAGCTAGCCTTTCTTATAATTTAAATTACATAACTTGCCATTATATAAATATACCTTTTAATTCCTAGATAATACATCAAAACTCCTAAAATCTTGTAGATAAATATTGTAGAATTTAATTCCAATAAAAAGTCTTTCAAAATACCCATGAATGCTACTGTTGACTCTAAAAATTACAAAACCTACGTGGCGCGCAGGCCGAGTAACTAATGAGCTAACTACGTCCTACGGTTGAATGCGGGGTGTGCCAACTCGTCGGCCGAGCTCGGCCGAGGAGTAAAATTTGATGTTGTCGCGTTGGGTGCGCTGTTGACTTCTGTATCTTGCGATTGCGACCGAGGAAGGAACGCTCTCGGCCTCTGGGTTCTATAGCCTGAAGACAAGGCTACTAATTCTACGGAGTTCACAAGTCGTCGGAACCTGATTCGGTCACTGTGATTATATTCGTAAGAGTATAAGCACGCCGAATTGAGACCAAACTATATGGGCACAGGTATTCGAATGTGATATATGTCTTGATGGTAAACGTAGTTCGGCCGTCGGAATGCCGAACCCTGAAGCTTACTTGCGAGTATCCAATCATAAAACCACTCGGCGTCCAATGCGCCGAGCAATGCAATTCGTAACACCCTACTATGCCGGAAAGGCTTAGTAAGATGACCTCTACCAACAAGGGCTCGAAAACCCTTCTCGGCCGAGACTTAGATAGATAATCGGTCGGCCTCGACGCAGTGCTGTTTATCCAAACTGAAGGTGCTTCTCGGTCGGCTGATTCTGCGGCAGTAGTGCTGTTTATCCAAACTGAAGATGCTCGCCGGGTGCTTCCACAGTGCTGTTTATCCAAACTGAAGGTGTGTCGGCAGGAAAAGGAAAGGAAAAAATCTCAAGGTGTTTGAGAGGTTTTGCGCTGGGCAATTGTATGCTGATTTTTGAAGGTCCTTTCTATTGCGTAATTTCTTGTATTTATAGCACCTCGTTCCCTGAAACCCATTCGGATTTGGATTGGGAGTCCTCGTCCCATTTTACCTCTAGCTCGAACAATCCTACCCCTTATGGGATTCTGAATTTTCCTCCTTTTGAGACTTTATTCCTTGCTGGTCGAGAATCCTGGTCGCACCAGGACTTCCTCGACCTCTTCTACTCATCTGGACTTCTTAGGATAGGATTCGGCCGACCCTGCCAGCTGGCCCGGGTTTCATTATTCGGCCCATAGCATTTGTCATTACCTTGGGCCGAGCACATCTTGCTGCTCGGCCCAACCATATTATTTTGGGCCCAAACATTGCCCCCTCGCTTCTGAGGTCGCCGACTGTTACTCTTGGTCAGTCCTCGGCCTTGAAGAAGCGAAAACGTTTATTGCTTTTTTGGACCTTACTTCATTAATGACCATTATTCCTGCATATTTATGAGACATGATTGCACCTTCCTCGTTGCCCCCAACGCGTGGCCACGTGTTAATTCTCCGCCGTTCTTAAAAGCTTCAATCATGGGCCTCGAAACCGTGCACTAATTGAATCGTCTTATCCTTATTAATGCATTGAACCTGTCGCCGCACGCAATCGTGCGTCCTGGATTTTCGACTCCTCGATCCCATTTTCGCAGGTTCCCAAAATATCCGAAATGATTGCAGACTTTCCCGGTGAAATTTCCCCCCCAATTTGAACCAACGCTTTTCGAATTCCAGTGCCTTTCGAAATTCAGGCGTTTGATCTTCAATCTGAAAAGCCTATAAATACCCACACTTCAATCTATTCGCTTCCTACGCTTTCAGAAATTCCAAAATCCCTCGCTCGTTCAAACCAAACCTTCTAGTCCTTCCTTCTGCAATATTTTCACCAGTTCTTCATCCTGCAATATTTTCACCAGTGCAAGGATTTCATCGATCGGAGCGCCGTTAAGACGCTGCGATTTGAAGAAGACATGGCCACCACCCACCAGATTCTGGGTCCCCTCTTTAGAGACGCAGTGCCGTCGTCTGTCACTGACCTGCTCAAGGAGAAGTGTTTAACACCCCTGCTGCAGGGGTTCGACTGGTCGAAGTGGACTCTGGCGTGGCCTCAGGGAGCCTGGCCTTCGACCACCACGGCTTGGGCTGCCTGGGTCGACCGGATGAGCACATTCTTCTCCAAGGAGTGGAAGGCTCTCGGCATCTATGATGCCATTATTCTGTCAACCATGGAGATTGCCATGGATAAAGAGCTGCTCCTGGCGGCCCTGAGTTTATGGTGTTCGGCCACCAACACCATGGTCTTGCCCTTCGGCCCCCTCGGCCCCACAATCCTCGACGTTTCGGCCATCCTTGGGACTTCCCGACCGGCCTTCCTATTGACGCCGCCCTTTCTGGATACCCTTCTCCTCTCGACCTGAAGGCGCTATTCGATGAAAGGGCCGTCGAAACGCTAAGCCGGGGCGATCGGGAGCCCTCAAGGGAAGAAGTTCAAAAGCTCCACAAGAACTTCTTCAACTACAACACTCTCATCATTCATTTCGCCAGTCGAGGCGAGGAAGGCCTTAGGAAGGGAGAGCACGAGGCCTTCCTCTTCTACTGGTACAACAAATTCATCTGTTGTACCAAGTCAAACAAGTGCCTGGTGGAGAACATGCCGGTGGC